CCAATATGACGAAAACAAGGTCAAACAACCTTTATTCAACGAAATGAGACCGTTACCACATAACGCCCCCACCATCTTGGTCATCATACCTTCGATTGAGAAGTTTTTTTTGCTTGCGTTTGTGTATGTAAATTTCGTTTAAGGTGATGAAGGAATTGTAGTTGAATTTTCCCACAATGATATGAGTAGAGCCGACGTTTCCATTGAATTTCACATTGACTTGCTTCCTCAAAAGTTGTTCTCATCCAAGGTCGACTGCAGTTTCGACCTCGCTTCGATCTTATCAACACCCCCAGCTGGAGTCGAACCATGAAAGTGCTGCATGTAAGCTCGACTCGTTACCCACTCGGCCACATCGCGAGTGCCCTTGGATCACAGGGCGGATGTGACTTTCATGGAAGGTCAGACATTTTCCCATATGACATTCTTTGGTGAGAGTGCTGATGAAGCAAAGTTATATTTACTATAACGATCGACTACATCACTTATTTTTCGTATCAAAACAGATTTTCGAGACTACCAGTACATCAGTAACATATGATAGTCCCGAACGTCTGCTTATAAACTTATAAACTTATACTTTCTGATATCGGCATCTGCATATCTTTTATCGAACTCGAGATTGAAAATGCTTTAAATGGGATAACATATTTGGCTCCTGATATTGCAAATAGCCTTTTTATGAAAAATCTCTTGATTTGCTTAGCCTTAGTGCACCACTTTGTATAATTCATCTTGACAAATTGTACCTGTTTCTCAGTGCAAATTGGTTTTCAGAGGCCTATTTTCATTCTTTATCAAGTTCACACTTAGAGTTTCGACTAGTGTGCCCTCAATTATTTTAGCACGTAGGTATGTTCCAAATATTTTTGGACTATACTTTTTTAATTACATCTCTTTTTACCTTTTTCATTTAGCTGAGTGAGCTCCAGGAGGAGGTTTCTGTATACCGGTCGGAACGGGATCAAGCTGCTCACGAACTGGTTCGTCTGGAGGCTGAAATTATTCAACTGCAGGCGCTCCAAGTCGACTTGATCAAGATGGTGAGCCATGTGCCTATAATTTAACAGTAATAAGTGAAGATAAGCTCTTGACACTATTTACCTTTCTTTTAAGGCTGTTAAAGGTGATTAAAGCTAGGCTCCTAAACCTTTGTCAAAGTCACTTGATGGGGATCGAAATTTCCTTATCCAATGCTTCGAGTCAACTGTGATTTGTAAGTATTTTAACGCCTATATGAGCTCTGTTCCTTCTATTTTGTGACCCAAGGACACTCTTGGCAATGTGGCATAGTTGTTACCGTGTCACAATTTTACCTGTTATTTTGCTAAGATTATTCCAGACACAGCCATTCACAGTTTGGTTTACTCCACAAGTCCTCCAAACTCTAGTTTGAAACATATTTTCTAAGGAATGATTAAATCGTCATGATCTAATCTAGCAAGCACTATACAACTAGTTTAAGATATCAGATGTATTAACCCTATTTCGTTTAAGGTGATGAAGGATTGGTAGTGGAATTTTCCCAGAATGATATGAGTAGAGCTGACGTTTTCATTGAATTTCACATAGCCTTGCTTTCCCAAAGTTTGTTCTCATCCAGGCTGAAGTGGACTGCAGGTTCGACCTCGCCTCGGTCTTATCAACACTCCCAGCGTGATTCGAGCCGTGATAGTGCAGCATGTGAGCTTGATACGTTAACCACTCGGTCACATTGCCACGAGTGCTCTTGGGTCACATGGTAGATGTGAATTTCAAGGAAGGCCAGGCCTTTCCCCATATCACATTCTTTGGTCAGATTGTCGATGAAGTAAACGTGCTTTTACTATAACAATCGGCTACATTCCTTTTTTTTCGTATAAAAGTAGAGTTTCGAGACTACCAGTAAATCAGTAATATAAGATGTATTCACCCTATTTTGTATAAGGCGAAGAAGGACTAATAGCAGAATTTTCTCTAACCAGTCCTTCATCACCTTAAACGAAATTGGATGAATACCTCTCATATAACTGATCTACTGGAAATCTCGAAACTCAACTTATATATAAAAATTTAGTTTAAATTATTTTGAGCTATAACATTTCATGAAATTTCTTCCATTTTTCTCTCGCATCCAAGACTGACACTCACTCATATTACTTTCTAAGTTTGTCTCTTATGTAATATATTCTTTTTGTGCAATACAGGTTGATCAAAGGAGATCCTTCCTGACGAGCGAACAGGATGCGGAATTATGCCTTGCCAGGCGAGACAGACATCGTCTCGCAACCCTGGCCCCCTCCACACCTTCTTTGAAAGACACCGAAGGAAGTGCTACAAGCGCTAGGACAAATGTGGGCATACCATTTAATCTCAAACAGGATATGCGTTATTTAATGTTTTTTTTACACCTTGACCATACTTAATTAGAGACTTGATATAAAAGTATGGGCCCTGATTCTTATTCTGGCATACAGTAGGCGTGAAAACATTATGGATGATCCTGTGTTGCGTTAAATTGTGATGCTTTTTCTCACTGGAGACCCCAATGCTTTCGTTCTGCAGATTCATATTTTAGAATAATTAGTGGATGCCTTTTGGCATGGTGATACAATGGACTTTTATTAGTTAATATTTTAGAAAATATAGAATTAATTTTCCCTAAATGGTTGTTTCAGAAGCGGTGG